GTAGGTCCTCCTGATCTAACGTCTACGTTCCCTATACCTCCTCTCCTGTAACTATCCCACACCTGCAAAGACTTGATACACGTTGAGCACAGGGCATGATAAATGGCACCCATAAGCCGTGCTTTTGTGGTATGTGAATTTTATTATATAATATACAGCAGTGAGAGGGTAAAAAGTTGGCATAGAAACCTGGCAGCTGAAGGAAGAGCACATCATTATCCGTAGATTCCTGGCTTCAGTTACATCATAACAGGGGTTTACACAAGAAGATAAAAAGGACCCTGATAATTTTTTTAAAAAAATTGCAAGTTAAAACATGTTTCCCCAACTCTCCCCTACAAGAACAGCTTCGAATCATTTCCAATCCAAGACTTTTCCAACCGCAACCTGAATTGGGGGGTTGCCATTTCCCCTCAAGAGTAACCAGTCATCTGTTGCAATTTTTTTTTTACAAAGAGGGAATTCCATGCCAATCATCCCCAGAGCTTGGAAAAAATGGGCTAAACCTCTCTCAGTCTCTAGTATAGGGGTTCCCAAACTTTGGGTCTCCAGATGTTTGGGGGTTAAACCTCCCAGGAGTCTTTATCACTAGCTGTGCAGGCCAGGATTTCTGGGAGTTGTAGTCCACGAACATCTGAGCACCCACAGCTCTAATGGATAGAGGACGTTGTAGTCTAAAAAAGTAATTTTGACAAGCTCGGAGGAGTTTCTTAGAACTGTGGGTCCTCTATGAGACAGCAATGCATTCCAAATTCCACTGACTGATCGCTTAGATAGCCCTTAGGATTGGACCAAAGCTGTTCCCGTCGTAAATCCACCCTTAATCTCTACTCCAGAAAAGGGTGGGCCAACAGGCATGATTGTCCCTCCCTTCCTGCAGTGAAACCATTTTGGATCCTTCCTCTCTACCCACTAAAATGGAGAAGGAAAGGTAACATATCCCAAATAATTTTTGCCATAAAACAGTATTTCTCCTTCCCATCTAAATAAAGGGCACAAGGGAGTGGGGAACATGTGGCCTTCCAGATGATGGACTATGATTCCTACCAGCCAACGTAGCCAGTGGAAAGGAATGAGGGAGGATGCGGACCAGCATCTGGAGGGCTGCATGCTGCCCCCCCCATCCCTGCTTTATAGCTCATCATCACCTATACAGTATTCAATTCAGGGCTTTACCCTTCCACACACTGGGCAGGATAGTGAAGGAAGATTTAGAGCAGAGGTGCGGCTACTTTCAGGGCTGCCTCCTGCTACGTGACATCATCAGCTTGGGTCATGCATATGGCTTAAGGCACTGCCTCCTGTCTGAGTTGCTGGCATTGTGGGCAGGTGTGACTTAAAATAGCATGTGATGTACTGGTGATTTATTATTGGATGCTCTTGCTGTGACCGCGGGATTGCTCCTGAGTAAAGTAGGAGGAACACAGAAATCCTGCTTCCCCCCTTGCTTGTTTTTGCATGTGGCTCTTAGTTAAAAGTGTGGCTTTGGCAATGATGTTCCTGGCCCCTAAGGCACAAGTCTGTCTTGTTCATGGCGGTGGGGGTGGCTCAAGCAAAGGCTTGGAGACCCATGGGCACACCTCCTTTCCCATGCTGGCCATAGGTATGGCTTGGCACCAAGGCTGGAGGGGAG